GGGTTTCACCATGTTGACCAGGATGGTCTTGATCTCTTGACCTCATGATCCACCTGCCTCGGCCTCCCAAAGTGCTGGGATTACAGGCGTGAGCCACCGCGCCTGGCTGAAATTTTTAAAATAATGTACTCTACCTAAAATATTACCACTTCAACATGGAATCAATGTAATAAATTGATTAAGGTATTTTATATTCTTATTTTTTTTGATGGGGCGGAAGACAAGGTCTCACTCTATTGCCCAGGCTAGGGTGCCGTGGCACGATCATGGCTCACTGTAGCCTTGAACTCCTGGGCTCAAATGGTTCTCCCTCCTCAACCTCCTGAGTAGGTGGGACTACAGATACATGTGACCATATTGGCTAATTATTTTTTGTAGCAATGGGGTCACACTATGTTACCCAGGCTGGTCTCGAACTCCTGGGCTCAAGCTATCCTCCCATCTCAGCCTCCCAAAGTGCTGGGATTACAGGCATGAGCCACCATGCCTGACCTACATTCTTTTTTTGTACTGCCTTTGAAATCCAGTGTGTATTTTACCCTTGTGTTCATCTCAATTCAGACCCATGTCAAGTGCTCAACAGTTGCATGTGGCTAATGGCTACATATTGGATAGGGCAGGGGCTCAGAGAATGCACTACATGAGTTCAGTTCCAGTGGGGATGTTGGAAACAAGAGCTTGGAGTCACAAAGAAAACGAGCACTCAAAAAAAGGACTTCTCAGCAAGGCAAATTTACTTTTGCAGAAGGGTGCTGCTCACACTTTTGGCTGCTACAAGAGCACACTGAACAAAAGAGGGAAGGGGTTTTTATCCCTAACAGTCTGTTTTTGTGTCCTATCCCCATTGGCTGCAGTTCAACATGCAATCTAAGCTGACCCAATTGGCTACTGTTTAAAATTGGATATGGCTAATTAGGCAGGAAGGGAAAGGCTATCCATTATGGTACAAGGCATGTCTGGGCATGTCAGGGCATGCCAAAGGTAGGAAGGGTAGTTTTGGCAGGAACAACAGTACAGATTGGGTAGCTAAGGGTGAAGGGGACTCTTTTCAAACAAGGAACAGATGTAGGTCACAGATTAGGACTGGTGGGAGGAGTCGTTTATGAAGTGGGTAACTAGGAGCAGGAAAGTATAAATAAGTTGATCTTAAGGACAAAGAACAAGGAAGTTAAACAAGCTGAACCTTTGAAGAGGAACTTACTGCATCTAACAGGGAGACATGGAGAATGTTTCATGGACCTGAGAACATTTGGGCAGGGACTCAGACAGACCAACAGAGAGCCAGGCAAGACAAACATCCTGGGCATTGACTTGTGAGGTTTGGGTGGAGACAGCAAAGCTGTGTGTGGCCCAAGAAGAAGCAGTGCTGCAAGCATGAGCAGAAGGCAGGTCCTGGTCATCTCTATGGTCCGGAGGGCCCAGTCCCAAAGACAGTGAACATGTGGCAAATAGGCGTGGATTGTATGAACAAGCAATTAAATGGCTGGGGAAAAAAAAAAAAAAAAAAAAAAAAA